GCTACCGATTTCTACCGCAATTGTACAAAGCAATGCCGGTGAATTTGACGGCGAATGCTATATCGGCCATCCACGGCGGCGACGTCAACGCCAAGCCGCTCGTGCAGGTTCTCGACATCAAGCTCATCAGCGCCACGCAGGAGCGCTACCGCCTCATAATCTCGGACTCGCTCGTGGCACATCAGGCAATGCTCGCTACTCAGCTCAACGACCGAGTCAAGTCCGGCCAAGTCCGCAAAGGATCCGTCATCCAGCTCATCGATTACATTTGCAGCACCGTCCAAAATCGCAAGTATATTTCTTCTCACCTCCGATCCATTGTTTATCGTTAATTCACATAATTTAACTGCGTGTGAAACATCTTCTCGTCAAATAATGTATACAAGTTTTGTGTGGGGTTCTAGATTTTCCCGAGTTCGCCTTTTGATTTTTAGAATTTTGAGCATCTGTATTTTGCTGTACGGATTCATTTTATCTGAAATTGTTACTTCAGAATTGTATTGGATGAATGCTTGGTGTTTCGCTAGTTGGTTAATTGATTTGCAAACTTCTAATGTGGAGATTGAGAAGAAACAGCCTACAGTAGTGAATATATCTTGCAATAAAAAATGTTACCTGGTTGAATTTACATTCGCTAGTTTCGAATAGTTTTTATGTTAAGGAATAATGTATCTCATTTGCACAAGAGTGAATGCAGAAAGATCAGGTTGACGTTTTAATTTCAAAATTTCTCAATTAAATGTTTGACTAGTAAATTGGAGTATACTTATATTGAGAGTTGATGGCATATAAATTCCGCTGTGAAAGGAATTTACTACCAAGAGAGCATTTCCGGATTGGCTGTTTTGTAAGTTTCTCGGTTGTCTTGTTAGCATGAAATTCTTGAGTAAATGGAAACTGAACTGTTAAATGATACGAATTGATAGCATATGGACTTGATTTTGAAAACTATGTACCATTCTGGTAAAGAATATCTGGAATTACACTGGTAAACTTTTCGTCTTCATTTCACTTTTGCCCAACTCTCAGCAAAGATGTCACAGGTCATTGTTGCTGACTGACTTGATTCAATACTCACACAGCCAGTGCTTTTCTGTAGCTGTTGGTTTATTAATTGTTCCCTAAGGAACTAAATTAGTTGTCATATAAAGTCCTGTTGTTGGCAAAGATATTTTATCAAGGTGCAGGAACCTCTGGGCATATAAGTTATGTCAGTTGGTAATAGTCAAAATCCAAGGGGAATACAAATTCATTCATGAATTAGTGAAAATCCATGAAAATTCATGCAAATCCGTTCTGGCAAATTCATTCATGAATGCAAATTAATTGTTCCAAGGGGAATGCAAACACCTAAACTGAAAACTCACCACCCAAGTTCCAGTCTCATGACTTTTCTGTTTCCCATGCAGGATTATTGTGGTGCTAAACATGGAAACTATCATTCCAGACTGTGATCCTATCGGCAACCCTACCGGGTTCCCTGAACCCGATACCCTTCCTCAAATTCCAGCACCCAACTCAACCTACGGACCCCTGCCGCCGACCAAAAACACCTGTTTTGCCCCTCAGAATGCAGTACGCTCGAGCTCTAGCCAAGGCAGGACCACAAGCTTCCATAACCAAAACACCAATAATACCCAAAGTTTCCGTCCCATGGTCCAGCCCCCATACCAGCCGCCCCCTAACTATAAGAACCATGGGGCAATCATGAGGAATGAGGCCCCGGCACGCATCATCCCCATAGCCGCCCTGAACCCTTACCAGGGCCGGTGGGCCATCAAGGCCCGAGTGACAGCCAAGGGTGACCTCAGGCGGTACAACAACGCCAGAGGAGATGGGAAAGTGTTCTCCTTCGACCTTCTCGACTCGGATGGGGGTGAAATCCGAGCCACATGCTTCAACGCTGTGGTTGACCGTTTTTATGATGCTATCCAAATCGGGAAAGTCTACGTGATATCGAGGGGAAACCTGAAGCCTGCCCAGAAAAATTTCAACCATCTGAAGAATGAGTGGGAGATATTTCTGGAGGCCACGTCCACGGTGGACCTCTGCCAGGATGAGGATTCCTCCATCCCGAGGCAGCAGTTTTCTTTTCGGCCCATTAACGAGATCGAGAGTGCTGAAAGCAATTCTATACTGGACATCATTGGTGTTGTGATATCCGTGAACCCTTCTGTTCCCATCTTGAGAAAGAACGGGATGGAAACACAGAGGAGAATTCTGAACCTGAAGGATGAATCAGAAAGAAGTGTGGAGCTGACGTTATGGGGGGAGTTCTGCAACCGGGAAGGGCAGCAGCTGCAGGAGATGGTTGACAACGGGATATTCCCAATTTTGGCAGTCAAAGCTGGAAAAGTCAATGACTTCAGTGGTAAGTCGGTCAGCACCATATCATCTACTCAGCTTTTCGTAAACCCGGATTTCCCAGAAGCCGACGCCTTGAGAAACTGGTTCGACCGAGGGGGGAAAAACACTGCTTCTCGCTCGATATCCAAAGAGCTCATCCCTGGTGGGCCCAAGAACGACATACGCAAGAGCCTGGCCCAGATAAAAGACGAAGGGCTTGGTAGGTCAGACAAGCCCGACTGGATCACAGTCAAGGCCACCATATCTTTCATCAAGACTGACAGCTTTTGCTACACGGCTTGCCCTCTGTTGATCGGCGACAGGCAGTGTAACAAGAAAGTTACGAAGTCCGGAAACTCCGGGTGGGTGTGTGAGAGGTGTAATCAGGAGTTTGAAGAGTGTGATTACAGGTACCTGCTACAGGTGCAGGTTCAGGATCATACCGGGTTGATGTGGGTGACTGCTTTTCAGGAGACTGGTGAGGAGATCCTCGGCTGCTCGGCCAAAGAGCTCCACATGTTGAAAAATGAGGCCCAAGATGATATCAGGTTTGCTGAGATTGTCCGAAACTGTTTGTTTTCAGAGTTTATTCTCAGGCTTAAGATCAAGGAGGAGATGTATGGGGACGAGCAAAAGGTGAAGATTACGGTCGTGAAAGCCGAGAAGGTGAACTATCCCGAGGAGAGTAGGTTTCTGTTTGACATGATCTCTAAGTACCATTTGAAATGAAAAAATTACTTGGCCTGCATTTCCTTGTTTTATTCAACACTCGTTCTGGTAATTTTTAGGATTTATAATGACCCTCTACACTCGTAGATATATTATTCTCTGATTTAGGACTCTGCTTACTCAATATTTGTATACGGGAACCCCACATGTTTGATTTAGGACTTGGCTTGCTCAATGTTTGATTCTTGATGTTTAGACTTAATTTGCAACTATTGATGCATTCAATCAGCTGTCTGTCTGTCAGTGTGTGAATGTGCATGTGTGTGTGTTTCCCATAATGCAAGATAGAGTGAATATTTGTGAACATAAGCTCGTTCTATAGCTTGAATAATATTATTTTTTTTATTCATCCAGTCGAGCTTGAACAAAAAGATAAGACTTTTTATTCTAAGAGCATGTTTGTGAATGTTTTCAAATATCTGCACAATTTATTTATTTTATATTTATATGTATATGTATAATATCTTTTATAGCAACTTTTTTTTTTTTTTTTGTCCGAAACAATAAACTTTAACTAATAAACACAAATATTTACAAACTAGGATAACAAAGACAACTGAATTAATCAGCTACTAAACTGAAACTAGTGGAGGACTACGTTTGTTGCTCCCCGATAGCCTAGAGCTGCTAACTCAAACTAAGACACAAAACTAAATTCCCAAAGGTGGTGACTAAGGGCGTGATTGTATATGATTTCTACCGTAAATATCTCACTTAAAACTCAAATGTTAACTCAACTTTAATTCAACTCCACTATTTCCAATATTATCAATATAATTAAATAATATTAACCAATCATTATTACACATCACATCAACTTTAATTCACTATTCATGCACTCACATAATTTTAACTAACAATTACTTACAATCATGGTCTCCTACTTTTACATCAAATCAACTTTAATTATTTTAATTTAAATATTATTTTAATTTATCCACTAACAACTAACCATACTATTTTTTTTCAAACATAACTATAGTTAAAAAAAACTAGTTTTTTTTTCTAGTTGAATTCATATCCAATCACCCCTTAAAAGCTCCAACAATCGAGAATAACATACCCACAAACAAAAACACACAATAAAAACAATACAACTACACAACATAAACAACACAACAACACACATCTAAACTAAAAGAGAGTTGAAGTTCAAGGACCCAGAACTAAAAACTCTGATTTATTCAAGCGGGTTGTCAGATATAGTGAGGAGACAAGTCTCAACTCAGATCTGCGCTCCTACAGTCTTCAAAAGAGAAGAAAACGAACGCCTTGGGAGTTAAACTAAAAGACAGTTGCAGTTCAAAGCCACAGAACTAAAAACTCCGACATATTCAAATGGGTAGTCAAATATTGTAAGGAGACAAGTCTCAACTCAGATTTGAGCTTCCATAGTCTTCAAACAAGAAGAAAACGAACGCCTTGGGAGTTGACCAAACAAGCCATGCTGGAGGAGCTGACGCCTCACCAAGTTATGGTCCAACCAAACCCATAACAGTTGAGTTGAAGGCCATACAGACTCCATCGGCTCGCCCCGTCGATGGAGGCCAAGCAGCTGCGAGAAGACTGCTAGCCGAGAAGAGGGTAGGCTGTTAGCATCTTCTCTTGTTTTTGCTCTGTTTTTTCTTTTTCCGTATGAGTTTTTAGACAAAGAGTTTATACTTGTTTCGTAAAAACTTTTAAGGTAACAAAATATTTCTTTTCCCAAAAAAATTTTTTCGAGCTTTAATGACTTAAGACAAAGAGGACTCAAGTTAATCAAACAACTTTAATAATCTCGTTTACTAAATTATCATAACTTGAATTTTGATCAGCAATTACACAAATGAAAAGAACATGAACTTGATGTTTGGCTAGTCCTGGACGATAAATAGTTGTCACTCATTTGTATTTTTATCTACGAAATTCCAAAACAGTCCTTCAACATATAAATAACATCCAAAGTAGTACATGTATAAAAAATTCATTAGTCATAAACCATAATCACATTTCACTTCATGTATATGTTGTAACTCTATTGTTTCTTTCTGAATAAGATTTCCCTATTTGTCTTTCAGCTTCTTCTCGAAGATATGCTTGATTGATAGTTTGATATGGTATCATTCGCTTGATCAATCCTTGTTTTTTCATTGTCGATCTACATTTTTCCTGCATTCACCACTTCTTGGGAAACTTTTTTTCTGGCAAAACCCTAGATTCCTATCAGTTTTCGAAGGTGTACACCCATGGCGGCCACGCGCATAATTCGACCCATAGATGATCCTTTCTCGCCATATTTTCACCACACAACTGATGACCCTGAGGCACTAAATATCGCAGAGATATTTAAATGGGATTGCTATGTTTCCTTGTCTAGGTCTATCACCATGCCTTTATCGGTTAAGAACAAGTTGTGTGTCATTGTTGGTAAAATATCTCCACCCTCTCACACTATTGATCCTATCGATTAGGTCTCTTGAATTCATGCAAACAATCTTGTTCTTTCATAGATTTTGAGTTTGATTTCTAAAGAAATTTAACAGTCCTTACTATTTTTTTCAGTCTGCAGAAGAGGTTTGGGATGAAATTAAGGCCTGTTTTGCCTTAAATAGTGTCCCTAGGATTTTTTAACCCGAAAAATCTTATTCTCCTAAGATCATGGTTCTCTGTCGCTAACTCAGTACTATAATTCTTTCAAGTCTCTGTGGAATGAGTATATCAGTTCACATACAAACCAATTTTAAAATGTACATATGGTGCCTTTGCCTTTTGTACTTGCAACATCTTTGAATCAAGGACTACCCCTCAGCATAATGACTCTGTCTTGATGTTCTTAATTGGCTTGAATGACAGATGTTCTTCTATTCGTAGTCTTGTTGTCTAGTCCATTACCTTCACTATCTAAATTGTATTCTTTACTTCTTATCTATTTATATATCATCCAAATCATTTGAACTTGTTGCTATGGTTGCTAAAATAGTCCTTTCTCACAGTAAAAATTCTCGGTTTGCTAATCCTGAAGATAGAATACGTTTTAAATGTGATCATTGTTGATACAATCACCATTCTAACGGATATTTTCAAGTGATTGGTTATCCAAATAATTGTGTTGGTCCTTTTCGCCAGCATGTTCGTCCAAATACTTCTAATGCTAACTCTACTGTGACAAATCATTCTAGAATAATGATATATCCATGACTGATACTATCTTTTCTTAGTTTCTAGCTTTTAAGAAATCACAACAGTAAAAACAGGTTGAACCTACGCCTGCGATTGCCACAGTTGCAACATGTGTTGATCAGTTAGGTATATCTTAATCCTTTGCTTGTTGAACTCAGTCTTCTAAAACATGGACTTTAGACGCAGAAGCTACAAGTAATATGATTTTTTATTTGAACTTGTTTGCCTCTATATCTCAAAATGTCTCTATTAAAATTCACATGCCTAATGGATTAGTGTAACGCCCCACTTTTATTTTACGAAAGTCAAAGGCTTTTTAAAAAGTCAACTTTTTTTTTCGAAACCTTTACATAAATCAGTGGCGCTACTCGAACTAAATCACATAATAACATAAATCACACTTGCATAAATCATAAATCATAAATCCATTGTTTTCATAAATCCCAGTTTTATCTAAATTGTTCATAAGGGAACATCTCCCAATTCAGAGTTCCAAAGTCATAAATAAGCATAAATAAATCCAAGTCTACTAGCATGCAGAATAAACTAAATGAAGTCAGTCAAAAACCAACACCACTCGTCTCTGTCTCGTCAGTCGACACCTACTTAACCTGCATCAATGAAGAGCAGGTGGGAGTGAGCACGATGAACTGTTGTGCTCACTACTATGCACGTAAATAACAACACAATATAGCAAGGGTATGATCACAACATGATCATAAATTAATTCATCATGTCACATCTCCAATCAATACACCAATAACCTCACTTATGTGCACATCTATCATTAGCCATTAAAGGACATACAGCTCTCAACAATGGGAGTGCATACCGAAGGACATACAACTCTCAACGGTATGGCCTATCATTATGACTTAGGGAGATTGCCACACAAGGGCACCGTCGAAGGACATACAACTCTCAACGATGGGGATAACCATTCGAAGGACATACAGCTCACAACGAAGGTTACACAAATTCACATGCAAGCAGTGATCATACCAACCCAACAACAAATAAATTATTTACGGCATAGCAATTTAAAGAAGACCCACCTGGATACCGAGATATAGCCAAACACAGGGTTGAAAGAATTATGGCAAAATTTCAGCTCGAAGAACCTACAACAATTATAATAGCCTATCAACTGACTATCCAATACAAGATAACACACAAAGCACATATATTTAGCCGAAATCATATCGACTAAGTGACTCGTGGATTCCTTGACCGAGTTAAGTAGTTTGGAGTGACTACCAGACCTGAGCACAACTCAAATACCTCAAATTAATACACATAAATCATGCCATCATCAATAAAGGTTAACCCGAACCTAGACAACGGATAACCGAGCATTAAGACTCTAAAATAAAAAAAATTCAGAATCTGGAGTTACACTCAGCCAATCAACCTGAAACTTTACCACATCACAAGTCATACAAAAACACATAAACTCACCAAGTTTCAGCCCTAAATTCATCCGGGATCATTTTTAAATAATTTAAGCAAAAACAGTATCAAAACCTAACATTAATAGTTCATATAGCTACACTTTGATTTATAATCCAAACTTTTGATACAATACAGAATACCACAAAATAACAAACTCCTCAAAGTTTCAGCTCAAAACTCCAAGTGTACGATTTTTAATGAATTTTATAAAATTCTGACCAGAAACCGATTTAATTAATTAAAATAGCTACAGATGGAGTTTCGACTTGAAAATTTTACACAATTTACAAAATCATCACAGGACACCACATATAAAATTTCATGGCAGTCGCACAACCACACGATTTATCATGAATTAATTACGATTTACCAGCATGTTCGGTTTAGAA